ACCCTACAAAGCTATACAGAGGGTCAGCTAAGATGTGAAAGGACTTTCAAAGGGTATAAAATGTTTGCAGATGTAAGAACAAGATACTGAAGATGCAGGTTTGCTGTAATTCTCTCAAGTTCCCTTCATCTAAGCCTTGTGCTTGGATTGATGGAAAATAATAATAGGTCAAAAACTCCAGAGAACTCTCCTGATACTGACATAAAAGCCCATCATGTACAGGTTTACTTTTTTACATCTTCTATATATTATAGAGGCTAAAGGCTTCATTTGCACAAGAAATACTTATTCATAATATACTATATTTAAGATACTCTATTAGTTGTTATAGTAGTTATAACAATGAAAGTGCAGGGCTTCTACCTTTCGGGGACTGGATAAGACAAGCACATCAATAACTGAAATATAAGACAAAGAGCCAAAAGGCCTTTCCATCCCCCAACCCTCCCCCGCCCCCAAAATTCTGGAAATCTGAAAGAGAGAGAAATCCTATTCCAAGACTTCAGGGAGGAGAAGGGATTTGAAGGATCTGTGAATTTCAACACACAAGATGCTGTTGGCAGAAATAAAGGACATAATTTTCGATGGAAGATACAGGCTACATAGGGGCCTGGAATAAGAAATGGTAGAGGCAGAGGAAAGGATGCCAGGGTTTTGCGTGGGCTAGAACACAGAGAATATGAAGAAGAAGAGCACAAAGTGGGTTTTGAAGGAAGACAAGGTTCAAGTTATAGAAGGCCTTACAAGCTAGGTGAAGGAGTACAGAATGCATTCAGTTGGCTTAGAGGTATCTGGAAGATTGTTGCCTAAGGACATAGCATAATCAGAAGCATGTGGAAGGAGGACTGATATCTGGCAGCCATGTGTAAGATGGAGTGAGCAGAGATGGAATGAGGCCTGGTGAGAGTCCAGGGAAGAGTCAACGAAGGCCTGGGTTTGGACAAAGGCATGAAGAAGTAGGGCAATAGATGAAGACATACAGCCTAGATAGAAGAAAAGGGCATTACATATGTAATGGCTGCTAGCCATGGCGACCAAGGAGTTGAAAGAAAGAAAGAAGTCAAATTTCCAACCCTGGGTCACACTATGGCCAGAATTAAGGAAGATGGAAAGCCTGCCAGGATGTGAATTCTGTTTTGAGAAATGTCTAAGAAGCTGGCAGGACATTCAAGTGGTGGAGATAGTTTTGGAAGTTATCCACATAGTTAGGAGCCAGATGGTGTTATGAGACTGGAAAGGGAGAAAATAAAGAGACAGATAAAAGAGGGGGGCATCCATATTTAGGAAGGCATGGAACACTGGAGCCAAAGGTAGAAGGAGAATGTAGAGTATTACAGAAGCCAAAAGAAAAAGACTGTTTCAAGATGGAGGACAGTCAAGAGGATTCGGCGTGAGTAAAGGTCATGGGGAAAGGGATCAGGGAAAGTTACCAGGCTTGGCAAATAAGATGACACCACGAGCCATGAAGAGAGATTTATTATTTCAGCAAATTCATACAGGTAGATTCATGAGTGCAAGAAGTTAGGTGGGAGTGGGTGGGAAGTGAAGCACCAGCTGCGAGAGCAAACTGTGCTGCCAAAAGATCTGACAGTGAAGGAAATGAGAAAAATAGAATGGTAGCTCCAGGGGCAGCAGGATCAAAGCAATTATTACAAAGTGTGAACTCTTGAGTCTTTCTGGAGGTTGAAGAAGGAAGATGAAGAGAGTCAAATTCCCAGTTCTGGAGGAGAAGGGAGGACAGGGATAGAGCACACACGTGGAGGCACTCAACTTAGAGAAAGGGGTGTATCCTTCATTACTTATTGGACGAGAGGAGGAAACAGAGAGGTACTGGGCCAAATCTGGGTAGGGGCATAGGAATACTGAGATCATTCATCCTGCAGGTAAGTTGGAGGGAACTTGATAATGACGTTTGAATCTATGAAGTATTTGAGGGTTGGTGAAATGATGAGAGACAGAGAAAATAAAGAAGAGAGTATGAGTTATTACTATAGAAGCTAATGCAATAGAAGTAAGTAAAAGATGCAAGTGAAATCTTTCTGAACATATAACATGTCAAATCCAGGAACCCTCACAGCAAGTTAGAAAATTTTCTTTAGAGCTATTCAAAAACATAACTGAATTCATGTCCAGTCAGCTTATACTATTTCAGAGATTAAATATCCAGAAGAGGCAAATCCATAGAGATAGAAAGTGGATTAGTGGTTGCCAGGGCTGGAGATAGGAAGGAATGGGAATGGGGTTTCTTCTCCGTGTGATGAAGATGTTCTGGAATTATAGAGTGGTGCTGGTTATGTAATATATTTAACGTTCATGAGGGGCACCTGGGTGTCTCAGTCAGTTAAGGGTCCGACTCTTGATTGTGGCTTAGGTCTTGAGCTCACGGTCATGAATTCAAGCCCCTCATTGGGCTCCACTCGAATACACTAAATATCAATGAATTGTATATGCTAAGAGGGTGAACTTTATGTGATCAGATCTCAATAAAGCTCTTTCATTAAAAAAATAAGTCATTTTTTAAAAAAAAAGAGTATTTCAGAGGTAGGCCGGTTGATGGATATGGAGATATACTAAATGATGTTTTCCTTGCATCTCTAAAACCCTCTTGGTTTTATTTCTTGCAAGGAGCTCTTAGGGCTCCTCAAAGCATCTAAGACATCATGATTTATTTTAGAAAGATGCTCCAGGAAGGACGTATCAGATTTGTCCAAGGCAGCAGTTAAGTCCAGGGGAAAGCTCAGATTCTCAGTATTTCTTCTAATCAGTGCTCCCCAAACCAAAATCCACAGACTGTCTGCATCTAAACCACCTGCAGAACATTTCAAAAGTACAAATGCCCAGGGCCCATGACAGGCCTCATAACCTAGAATGTCTGGGGGGAGACGGCACCTAAGTCTGTATTTTTATGAAACTTTCCATGTTGGCAAACTGCCGTGTCATCACCAACCACACTGTTGAGAAGAAGCGTGAGCAAACGGTGAAACCAGCAGAACGGTGGCTGGGCCGTTGGTACGGAGCGATGAGCCCATGTCTCTGACAATCACCATGCCATGCCAGGCTCTCAGGAACATGACTTTTCTAATTACCAACTGCTATTGCTCACATTCCCAACAGTTTTTCCCTTGGTCCTTACAATTTAGAAGGTCCTTGATCTCAGGAAGACATTTTCTACTGTGCTTTAAGGAAATTAATTCTGCAGCAAGAGAGAAGTCAGATGCTACAGCATGCAGATCAGGCTGTGCTGATACGGGTTTAGTTGTCTGGCAGAATGAAAATTAAATAATACAATATTGCCACCCAGTTTTAATTCAACTGGCAAGTCCTACCAGAGTTATGATTTCTTGGAAATCAAGAAGATAAAGGAAAAACCGACGATGAATGAGCATCTTCCTTTCTTGGTTTGTGCCGCATTTACCACAAAACCAGCACTCGGCAGGGCACAGGTAAGGTGTGATACCTGTCCCCAAGGAGAACACAGTGGAGGGGAGGAGCAGAAAGTGACTGATGCATCTGTGCCATGACGTCAATCCCACGTGCGGTCTCTGGGCAATGAGAATGCAGGAGCACGGGCTGCGCATTGTCAGGAAAACGCACACAGCTTCGAAAGAAGACCAGCTTTGTGGCAACCTGTGCCGAACACTTGCAGCTGCCTAGTCTCTGCAACTCAGGAAACAATGTTGTCTGCAACTGGGGCTATGCCCCGCTCTCCAGCTGCATTGCTGGTGCTGGAGCCACATGTCCACCCTTGCTGCGGGGAAGCTGGGGTACCAAGTCCCTCCACTCTCCTCCCAGGCCTTGACTAAGACCTCATTCTCCCACTGCAGTCCACAGTGGGGAAATGAAGAGCTTCCCTTCGTGATAAACACCAGGGGCCTCAGCTCAGAGACTGCTCTGTCCGCTACCCGATACCAAAGCAAAGCCTAGATCGTTTCAAGCTCATATTAGGAGGCCAAGGAGAGAGCCATGCATTCTCCAAGGAAATCCCCAGGAGCATTTTTTTGCCAGCAGTACTGGGCACCAAGGCATAAAGAAAAGACCTCAGAACTAAAGGCTCTTTTCCCCGCACAGACGCTCTCCGGGCACGGTTGGCGCCGCACCCAGCTGCCTGCAGCCGAGCTGGAATGGCAGTCATCGTTGTGCGCTATGACAGGACCGGTATTTTGCTGTAGGCCCAGCTTCTGTTAAGATGGCAGAAGGAGTGGCCTGTCACCCAGAATTACTTCTCAGCTCCCAATTATATGTTTCAAAAATATCACCTATTAAGGCCCAAACACTTTGTTTGCTGGGTGCAGCCCTTTGAACAGGTTACCATGGCTTTATGCGGGCATAATGGGCCTGCGTGATGTATGTTCCCTGTCAGTGCTGAAACAACAGTCAATGCGTCTGAGCAGGCCCACCTGCCAAGCAATATGTTCTCAATCCCTCAGGCAGAAGCAGTGCCTTGCTCGGCTAAGAAAATGTCCCCCCACTGAGGAAACGGCAGAGGCATGGAACACAGGAACTGCGAGCACATGCGCACAGAGGATCACAGACACCCGGAAGGAGCAGCGGGGAGGAGGAGTGAGGATGTTCCCGTCAAGCTTCACTTCACAGTGACAGGCAAACAGTCTCGTGGTTTTTCTTTCTTTCATTCTTTTTTTTTTTTCCTCCCTCTAATGAACTAGCATGGGCTGCTAATCACATACATCATTAACACAAGTGGCTGAAGTTGGCTACGAGATGGCTGGTAGATGGGTGTCTGAAGCCAAAAATGGGGAAGGGACAGAACTGAAGGCTCAGAATCACGCAGGAGTGGCCTGTCTCGTGGAGGCTAGGAGTCTGGGGAGAGGACAAAGGCACAGCCTGATGGAGACTCCTCTCCGCACCAGAGCAAGGGAGGCAGGAAAAACCCAGGCCAGCAAGGGACGGCAGCGTGCTCACCTCCCTGGCTGATCCGAGAGCTCCCCACCATGCTGCTTTTGCTCGTCTCGTGGAGGTGGCCCGAGACACAGAGGCAGGCTTCATCCTTTCCCGGGAAAACATAGACTTTTGTCAAGCCCAGGCACCAGGGCTTTTGGCTGGGAGCACTCTGGTTAATTAGAGATAGCATGAGGCCTGCTGTGAAGACTGCCTCAGAGACGCAGGACAGACTGCTTTCAGCGGCTGCTAAGAGAGGAACGGTGACAAACCTGCTCCTTTCTGAGTGGGTATGCTCTCCGCAGATTATGTAACAAGCAACAATGAATGGCTTTCTTGCAGGCCATGGAAAGCACAGCACGGTTCAAAGCAGCGAAGGACAGTTTTTAAAAGGCTACAATTTTCCTCGGGATTTTAGGTCAATCCTCTAACCTATCTCAAGATCTCCAAACATTTTTCCAGGTCCCGAACCCCATGGAGGTGACTGTCACAAATAGCCCTCGTCAAGGTCCTCGACAGAACACTCACTTGTATTTTCCACGGCTGTGCTGAGCACATGGGCCCAAGCACAGGGGGGCAAACTCCTCCTCACATCTCCTAATAGAGGGAGGAAAGAAGCTGAAGAACACCAAGCAGCGGTCAGAGTACGGTAAAGCCAAGGGATAAAACACCTCGTAGCCGCTGAAAATGATAGTTTTATTCTGTAGTGAGGATTAAAAATCACCAGAATATATTAACAGGAAAAAAACACAAGCAGAATTTGATCTCATTTACGGAAAGATGTATAGACTTCATAAATGAAGAGGTCTGCAGGGATGCTCAAGAATTGACATCTCTGGGTGAAGAGATTTCAGGTGCTTTTTACTTTCATTATTCTTCTGTACATTGAAATTTTTTTTCAAATAAGAGTATGTCATTTTATGAAAATCCATCAAGTTATTTTAATAAAAATGTACGCGAATAACATAATGCAATGCAGTGAGACATAAGTGAATTCAAAGGCGTTCAGGTGGAGAAAGGACCCTTAGAAATGGAAGGGAGTGGCATGGACACAGAGAGGCTGATGAGCGCTGGGCCAGGGAGTTGCCCAGCACGTCCAGATGGGAAAGAGAGTGAGGCACCGCAGAAGGATGGAGAAGGGGGACCTGCCAAAGGCAGTAGCCAAGAATCCACCGTGGCTACAGTTAGTGCAGGTACCTGCTGGGGAGACACGAGAAGATGTGAGAGGGAGGTGGAAGCCACACTTATAATTGTCTTTAGTGCCAGACAGAGGAGTTTCCACTTAATTTGGAAGGCAAAAAAGATCCAAGGAAAAGAGTGTGTTTGAGAAGTGGTTGATAAAGGAGATGTGTTTTAGGAATATTAAGCAAGGAGTGAGGTATAAGACAGATCAGAATTAGGGACAATGGGAGATAGACAAATGATTTAGAAAGCTACTAGAACATCCCAAGGAAGAAGCAAGGAAACAAGAGATTGTGAAACAGACATAAAAAAGAAACAATTTGTTAGAGTTTAGGGAATTAAAAATGGTTGATCTAGATGTTCAACAAGAAGAGCCAAAGAAGAGACCACAGCCGCGAGGAGCCTGAGGTCCTGCCATGACGTGCAAGGGAAGCTATGGGGAGTGGAGTATGGACTGGGCGAGAACACTTTTCTGGGAAATCACTCTCTGGCCTCCGTGTGCACTGACATTAGTAGAAAATGAGCTCTGAGAGAGAAAGCCCTTAGTCTATTTGGTTCAGTGCTGTCCTGCCCACTCATAAAGCAGTGCCAGGCCTGTGGCAGGAACGCAAAGGCATTTAGAGATGGAATGAAGAGCTATTAGCATTGAAATTAATCAATCAGTGAGAATACAGCATAAAGAGAAAGCCAAAGTGATCTGAAAACAGACCATTGCGGATAGTCAGCGGGTGGGAAGAGGGGGAGGTTAATAGGACAAAAAGGAAAGGAGAAGCAGCTTTCAGATTAAAGTCTTGTCATTGGGTGAAATTTGGTCTCTCATTTTCTCTGGATAATTTTCTAAAATTTTCTACATTCGGTTTTTTTATATTTAAAACAGGAGTGATGATAATCTTGAGGACCCATCCAGATCCAGAATTCAACAGTGCACTCATTGTTGATTTAATTCTTATCAAAAATTTGTGTCTAGGGTTAACCAGGAATATGACAGTTTCCTGAAGGCCAAAAAATTTTGCTCCCTAAATTGCTTAATATTGTAACTTTCTCATAAATTGCTGCTCAATAAATGAGCTGATTTGACATTGTCCTTTTTTGTAGTAAAGTATAATCTGCAATCTCAAGTGTATAGTTTGTTGAATTTTGACACATAGATGTACTGTGTTACCTGTCTTCCTGGGAAGATGTAGGACATCTCCATGCTGATTGGATTCTGAGTCCTCCATTACTGCACTATTGAAAATACACATGAGCTGTCTTTATTCCTCTTCTCCATTTTATCCATATCTTATTGGTAAAATATAACCAGTCACTTGCACATATGGAATTTCTGATGTTTTTCTATTTCAGTATTTTCCCCATGTAATAGGCCATAAATTCAACTAAGATCCTTGGACCAGGTCAAACGTTATTTATGTAGTATCACTGCCAGATTTTTTAAAGAGAAACGGTGCATCTGACTATCTCACCATAAGAGGTATATATCCTATACTCTTTTATATTAATGAATATTTGGTTATTTTGAGAGAAAAAAATACTTAATTCATTTTTAGCCAAAGATAAATGTGTTTGATAGCGTATTTTTAAACACATGCTGTTATATTTCAGACTAGTTTTGAATATTTCTCCAGTTGGGTCATGAGACTGTGGTTTTGAATCATCTAGACCCAAACACCACTCAGCTGACTTTGGCTCCTTGGAGTAGGTAAGGGGAACTCTGCTTCGTTTTGTTTTTAATCAGATATAATTTGGTATTTACCCATTTCTGACATCGGGCCCTGACAAAGCCCATGGGTGCCAGTTTAGGCTGGGCCATGTCCCTGACCTTGATGGGTCCGCTGGAGGTGACAGTTCCCCCAACCTCAAATTCTGTGGGGTCACTATGGCTCTGCTTTCCCCACCTTACAAGAGGCAGGCTTCCCAGTCATAAACACAAGCGAAGGACTAGAGCCCTCCCCTGAGATCACAGCCGTGGATGTGGGCCTGGCTCTGCCAGCGGAAAGGGACTGCTTTTGTGGTTAGCATCAGACGTCAATGCTGGAGGCTGGCTTCCAGGCAAAGTCTCCAACACTCAATTTCTACCAAAACAAAATAAGAACCAACACAAGCAACTGAAATTACCAGAGTCTGTCCTCCCGACAGTTAAACAAACAATTCTACCTGCACTGAATTTCAAGTACTTTTGGTCTATATATGAGCAAATATTCCACTGTTTGCATTAACAGTGGTTGATCCTGGAGCCACATTAATCAGAAAAAGAGGAGAGAATGTCATTTGTGCCAAACACCCAAGTCCTTGCTCAAGCCCAATACTACACTGAAACAGTATACGTTTTCTAGTGCTGGAGGTGGAAGATTTCCAGTAAGACTGTGCATAGGAGAAGTCAGTAAGTCAAATAATCAATATAAATCTACTGAACAACTTTCAGGTCCGTGTCAGTCCTGTTTCGCACACTATCTGTACAGACTCTGGAGAATCTGAATCTAAAAAGTTGAGCCCAATATCTCTTCAACCATGATCTGGTCTAAATACATTTTACTTACAAGCCACCCCAACACAGCACAGTTATTTGCCCCTGGTACAACAAATAAACCAGGCAAAACTTCTTAGCTCCCATCTTATGTTGAGGAAAACAATACCATGTAAGATGCACTGTTTAAATGAAGTTCTCAGGCCATGTGAAGTAAATGTAACGATGGACCAAGACTGAAGGTGAATGCATTAAGTGCACAGCGCTGGGATCCTCTTTACCTCATTGCCGGGAAAGGATTTTCTAGCCTGTGTTTGAATACCCCCAGTGATGGAGTTTACTACGTTCCATGGCATCCAGTCCTCCATCCAGCTGTGCATTTTATTCTGAATTCAAATCTGCCCTTCTAGAACCTCTGCACACAAAGTAGCCTGAATTCTGAAAGGACAAATTAGATTTGACATCCCTTCCATATGATAGGTCTTTAGCTCTCTGGCATCTACGACCTAGCCCAAGAGCTGTGGGGTTGCAAGGATGGTTTAAGGCAAGCTTCCTATCCTGGGGATACTGTAAGTGATAACAAATGTTATGTGAGAACCTGGCTTATTCCCAGCAACTTAAGGCAAAGAAGTCATGAAATTCATAACAGGCATTGAAAAGGCAGTGCCAGTCCTAAAAAGAATTAGAAGGGATAGGAATAAAATGGTACATGAAACAATGTTCTAACAAAATCACAAAGGCAGGCCCTAGTTAGTTTGCATAATGCTTAGATCACAGTTTAAAATCTAGATGGGTTTTTGCTCCATATATTTATACCTTGTAACATTTGTCCACCAGAGGTTTAATCTTGATACTTTACATTTGAATAGCACTTTAGAGATTTCAAAGATTTTTACATGTAATTTCATATAATTTGATTTTGAAATTCAAAAGTGACATTAAGCTATGGAAAATAAGCCTTGCACCAACCATGCCAAGAATATAATGAGGTACGTAAGTGTTACCCACTCTCCTGAATGGATTCATGGTATCCACGGGTTTGGGCTGTGAAATAGAGCCCTGTTTGTCTCATACTAGCTGTGTCACCTCAGCCGAATTTCCTAACCTCTCTAAGCCTTGTTTCCTGAACATGCAGATGAAAAATACCATGGACCTTCAGTAAATTTATCCACATAAAGAGCTAAGCCCAGTGCCTGCTACATCTGAGGAATAAATGTCTTTGCTTACTGATCTTTTGGGTTCATCAGAGCTAGTGACTGATTTCTTTATTATAAAATGTATCTTATTAGGATTCATGACATAGAAAAGTATGATAAAAATATTTAAAGTGGCAGAGGGCTTAAAAGAAAGTTGTCACTTTGGCAGTCTCATAAATACTGTGATGGCCACGTCTGAACCGAAACCAGGGCTTGGATATGTGCAGAGCAGCATTACTCACCGTGCCCGTTAGTGGAAGCAACCCAAGTGGCCACTGAGGGATGAATGGACAAACAAAATGTAGTATATACACAGAATGGAATACAATTCAAGCCTTAAAAAGGAAGGAAACTCTGACAACTGCTACAACACAGTTGAACCTCAAGGTTATCATGCTAAGTGAAGAAAGCTAGTTACAAAAAGACAAATACTGTGATTCCACTTACATGAGATTCCTACCGTGGACAAATTCAAAGAGGAAAAAAGCAGGAATGGTGGTTGCCAGGGAAGGAGGAGGAAGGAATGGGGAGTTATCATTTAACAGATATGGAGTTTCAGTTTGAGATGAGAAAAGTTCTGGAGATGGATGGTGGTAATGGCTGCACAGTGTACTCACTACCACAGAACTGTACAGGCAATTTGTTAAAATGGTATATTTTATATTATAGACGTTAAAACGGTAGGTTTTTTTTACCACCTCCACAACAAAAAATCCTATAAATACTGCAATGGTATTCCAATGGATGTCAGGTTTCAAAGAAGTATGAGGCACAGTCCCTCTACTACAGGTATTTAAAATGTCTAATTAGGGAGACAGAAAGCAAAAGACAAATGTCCATCCAAAGTTCTCTAACTAGGGCAACGAACAAATAAATAAGCATCCACAACGCTACAATTTGCCAGTGACATTATCCAGTTGGTGGACATTAGCCATAACTTACACGCGCTAGATGTCTTGGGTCAGAATCATGGACAAAGACTGTCACCTGAAGTTTTGCTCAATGACACTCAGTAACAGAGCATGACTGTTACATATTAAAAATCAAGAGGCTCCCAAAGACACTTACTGACTGACAGCTACATCTTCCAGGCGTTTAAAACTTCATCATGCAAACACAGACAGTGTGAACCAGTTACTCTAATTAAGCATTTTCCTTATCCTCCTCCAGCAGAACTGCATTTGAGATAAAGGATCATGGCACTAAATGAACAGGTTAATTAGAGACAGCATTTACCCCTGCAGGCCCTCCACCGGAGACACCATTTCACACCATTACATCACACAGGAAAGCCAAGGGTCCGGGGAGCAGCTCCTGAGACAGCCAGTGACCAGCAGAGAAGGTGGCAAGCAATGGAAAGAGAAATCATGCTGGCATATCCTCGGCCAGGAGTGCCCCCCCACCCCATTTCTCTAGGGCATGAGTTGGCAAACTACAGCTACAGGCCAAATCCAACCGGCCATCACTTTTTGTGCAGCCCGTAAGCTACTATTAGTTTTTGCATTTTAAAGTGTTGTTTAATAAAAAGAAAAAGAAGAAGAAATCAAGAATGAATGTATGACAGAAACCTAGGCAGTCACAAAGGCTAATATTGATTCTCCCGCCCTTTACAGAAAAGGTTTGTCAACCCATTCTTTCAGATGATAAGAATTAAACTATGTGCTGGTACAAAAGGAAGGAGGGTAAAGAGAAATGCAAAATGTTCACATGAGAATTTTTTTTTTTCTTTTTTAAGCTCCAACCCTGTCCCCGATGCCATCCTAGAAATACCTTAACCTGATGAAGAGGTGTCCTTTCATGAGGAAAAAAGCTTTCTTTCTCTGGCTATCTAGGAAAAAAGCAGCAGAAATCTGAGAAACTTTTCATTCAAACAACTTTTCTTTTAAATAAGAAAACACAAACTTGTCTACTCCTCCCTCCTTGCCCCCCCCCCTTTCTCCACCCTAGTCATTGTATCAAGCTTGAACGTGTTCTTGTGAAAATATTACGACTTAAGGTAGTGCCTGCTATCATTCCATTGGTTTGGGGGGTTTAGGAGCAAGTTTTAAAATAGGTTACAAGTTGAAACTTGGCAGAGAGAAACAGACACTCAGGGTAGGGACCAACTGTATGTAATTTGAAAACAGCCGGTTTCGAATTTGCTAATTCATAAGAGCTCAGGAAAGAAAGCAAACCTCAACAGCCCAACATAACTGCAAAACACTTGCATTCTGAATATAGCTCAGTGCCCATTCAGAATCTGCCATTAATTCAGCCGATGTTTTTCTTCCCAGAATAATAAATACTTTCCTTCAACTGAAATGTGGGATCATTACAAACAAAAATATTGCTATTGACGGCCTATAAGTGGATTACATATTTACTTTGCTTTATTGGAAAGCCCACGAGGGGAATGACCATAACTTACGCCTTCTCTTGCATTCCATAGTGCCTAGTTGGGCACAAAATTGGCACTTAAAAAAACTCTTGATGAAATAGTGAATAGCCGATACAAAGAATGAAAACCAATAAATGAGACTGGTTCACTCTTGCCAGGTACACACATTTTAATATGCTTATTGGCAAAATGTGAAGTTTCTTGGCTCCAGAGTCCAGTGACCTCCAAGGGGTACTTCAACGTGAAGTCATTCATCCTTATAATAGGTCTGGCCTCTCATATCCATGTGATTTTGAGATGAGAAAGATCTCCACTATATATACATCCTTTGTTTCACAACACTTAAAATATCAAATCAGTGTGGTATCTTTGAATAGATCCTCCTTCTGAAAGAACTGAGCATGACAAGTGCTTCTGACTACAAGTCACTGTCCAGAGAAAATGTGCTCCCACCCTAGCTTAGCAAGGAATTGTTGAACAAAGGTGCAGAGAGCATGAGGGCAGCCCGAAGGAGGAGCCTGAGTTGAAACAGCTGTTCCCTAGGGCTTCTGTGCTACTGGAGTCTTTCTACTGGGTCTACGGATGGCAGTTTACCATTTGCAGAGTATAACAATATGGTGCGTGCATGCGCACGTGTGCACATACACACACACTACATGACC